TAGGGAAATTACCTATTAGCTAACAAAGCAGTCAAAGACAGAATATTGATCAAACAGGTTTTACCAGCTCGGTACAGCTCTGTAAATGAGAGGGGTATCAGATCTCCAGCAGTACGGATAAGAATGTGTAAAAGCTCCAGACTTAAGCAATCTACCCTTTGCCTAGGAGATGAAAAGGAAAAAAAATTAAAAAACAAATCACTAAAAAAATGTTTTAAGATGAACATGCGTCACTCCAAGACATAATAAAATTAACTTCTATATGAAATGTTCGCATCTTAAGCTCTCCTTTAGATAGTAAGTTGGACAATCTGATAAAAGGGTTCCTTCAGAAGACAAGCAGAAGGGTCAAGAAAACTTTTGCATATACCTTGTCCTCTACACAGTATAAGGTTTATCTTTAGTTCCCACATACACTCCCAGTCAAAACCACCACGTATTTTCTGTTGTTTTATCTTTGTGCAGTCCTCCAAACAAGTTTCTAGTTGATTTTAAAAAAGGGGCATTGTTGTCCCAACTAGGGCTTATTCAAAATTTTAGAGACAGAAAATTAGGAAAAATAAAAAGTAACTTCCACTCAATCAGATTAGAAACTTAGTTAATCATCCAAGCACCATAATGATCAAAATTAATAATGGGCTAGCGGCTTCTCATAATTATAGATGTGTGGAGAATACCTTCACAGCTTCATGATATCTTTGTCAGCTTGTTTGATGTAGCACCCACTAAAGTCTGTAATTTTTTCAGTAAAGCAGCCATCATCATCAACAGCTACAGTTAGATTATCCTACAGACCAACATAGTACTTCGGTAACATATAGGGAAGATAAGAATCCAAATATAAATAAAACAACGGAAAATCTCAAAAGTTGTGTACTATCACCAAGTTTGCCAGTACAATTAAGTAGCAGAGAGGAAAGTTACCATAAAAGATGCAGCATTGAAATGGAAAAGACGGAGATAAATAAGAAATGAATCAACATGAAAAATCTTCTCCACAGAAAGAGGAAATATAAACTTGTGGAGGCATGCAAATAGATGATTAAGAATATGCCTTCCATTTACACATCAAAGAATTGTTCCTCTAGCATTTCATGAGAGAAAATTAAAAACAAAAATCGTTATATAACTTTATGTTCTTAAAAATACAAACCTTGCTGAGGATTTTATTATCAATGCAAACACGAAAATCGTCTTCACCAAAAGCAGGGGCACAATGGACAACACCAGTACCACTATCATCAGTAACATAATTATCGGCAACAACTCTAAAAGCTGTATCAGATAACTCCTTGAAGTAATCAAATAATGGTTCATACCTGCAGAACATGTGATCTTATGAGTTTCAACACTCAATGAATATGCAAAATGTTATAAGAAAGTCTCAAAATAGAAAATATAAATACACTGAAGTTAATTAACATAAAAGATGAATGCAGTATAAGGCAGAATTGCTCACTTTGTCCCTACTAATGATGCCCCTGAAAATTTCTCAAGTAATTCAAAAGAATCTAAAACATTGTCCGTTTTTCCGCCTGAAGCTCCCTTGGTCTTGGCATTTTTATTCTTAGAAACGTCATTTGAACTATTAGCAACAGCTTCTTTGGGTTTCTCCTTAGGGTTATGGATTGCAGACAGACGAGATTCAGCAACAATATAAACTTTACCAGAGTACTTATTGCGAACTGATTGCAACAACTCCAAAATGTAGTGAAGAAACAATAATCTAAACAATATGTGTGTTAAAAATTAGAAAGGATGTAAGGTTTCAATTGGTCATTCAACGATTTTCATTTTCCCTACCATTATTTTTCATATAAGTTCTTCAAACTTCAAGATACTTTTGTTATACGAACATAAGTTTTATTACAGGGATTGAACAGCTAATCATTGGAGGCAAAGTCAAATTGCAACCAAAATCTTCCTTGTGATAAAAAAGACGACTTGTAAATAATTGTAAGCATAAATCACAGCTCTATTATCAATATTCCAGTTCCAGCATAACTTGCCAAGCTAGCAACTTCATTCTACTTCATATCTATCTTATCTATGCATATGGGTAAAGTCATGATCCAACTTAACCACAATTCAAATAAAACAAGCTTGAAAGGTTAAGTTAGCAGCATGTTAAGTTCCATATTGCTATTTTGACAACAAAGTTAACCAACCTTCACATATGTAAAATTGGCATTGATACACAGAGCAAGATTGCTAGGAAGAGTCCATGGAGTTGTAGTCCATGCTACAAAAGATGCACCATGCTGATCACCCACGACAGGAAACGTCATGAATACTTCAGGATCAGATACATCCTGTGCCAACAACAAAGAATATCAGATGCAGATACAATTGCAACAATATAGAACAGATACCTGTTTGGATAAATCTCTCCAAAAGCTATTGTGGAAGAAAAAAAGCAAAACAAATTAAGCATCTCTCATAAGCTAAAATCAACTTATAAACTTTAATAATGAAGCTTACCTTTTATCGAAACATTATTCAAACAGATTAAGCTCATCTAATTTCTCACAAAGCTAAGTTTTAAAAGCTGATTTCAGCTTATAGAAGACACTCGATGACGCACTTTATCTTCTTATAAAAACAGAAACCAGAAACAGCAACAAACAAGCTAGGCAGATTGGTTGCATGTAATCACCACTGACCTTATAGTTCTGCCCAGCCTCGAAATTAGAGAGCGGAGTTTTGCAGCCGGTGCTGTACGGCATAACCTAGAACAACAACATAATGCAGCTAATGCGTTGAGACAGAAACGATATCAGACAAATCGAAACAGAAACGAAATGTAACGAATACCTTGAAACCTTTATAGACAAGGTTTTTGGCAAACAACTGAGCGAAAACCCACCACACTGACTCCATGAACTTGAGGTCCATTGTCTTGTAATCATTCTTGAAGTCGATCCAGCGGCCGGTGCGCGTGATTACGGCCTCCCACTCGGAGACGTAGCGCGTGACGATGCTGCGGCACTCCTCGTTGTACTTGTCGATTCCAAGTTTGAGAACGTCCTCACGCTTCTTGATGCCGAGCTTCTTGTCGATCTCGTTCTCGACGGGGAGGCCGTGGCAGTCCCAGCCGAAGCGGCGCGTGACGTGGTGGCCGGTCATGGAGTGGTAGCGCGTGACGATGTCCTTGATTGTGCCGGCGAGGATGTGGCCGTAGTGAGGGAGGCCGGTGGCGAAGGGAGGGCCATCGTAGAATATGTACTCGGGCTTGTCCTTGGTAAGAGCTAACTGAGTTTGGAATGCGTCGATTTGAGACCAGAGTTCTAGAATCTTCTCCTCCTGCTTCGAGAATGTGAAGTCTTTCCCCTCGCAAACGTCGTCCATGCTTCCCTTCGCAGACGATGAACACGCAGCGGCGGCAACTACACACTCAGCTGGAATCAGGGTTTATGAAACAGTGACGGTAAGTCTATTCAACCTCAACTGTAATTGTAACTCACAAAATGGACTATGCGGAGAAACTCATTTCTTTTACATTTTTATTTATGAAATGCATATGATTCTTATTTTATAAATGAGGAATTTAAAAAGAAAAAAAATACACTGAGACAATAATCACACAACATATTTCCAATCGAAGGAAGACAGCAATTATATAAATATTTTTTATTCTTTTACGGGAGTTGACAGGTTGTGACAGATTTTTTTTTTAATTTCAGTACAATTTTTTTTACTTTATGTTAATTATTTTTAATTGAAAAAATTATATAAATAAATTTTATTCTTTTCTGGGAGTTGAAATGTTGTGACAGAAATTCTTTTTTTTTAATTTCATTACAAATTTATATTTTGTTACTTTATATGTTAATTTATTTAAATTGAAAAATGACAAAAGTTAGCCAAACACTTTTTTAGACATGTCCAAAAATGATATTTAGACTATAATTTTCTTAAAATATAATTCATAATATTATGAAAAAAAAAATATATATATATATATATATATAAAAGACTATCCAAATCAGTTTTAATTTACCATAAACTCTAAATCATATAATATCAATGTTTTTGTTGTAGGTTTCAATCAATTGTAGTTACCATAAATTTATTAAAGTGTTTATAATAAAAATTTGCCAAATAGATAAACCTCTTATCAATTTTTTTATAAATTTCATCTATTCATATTTTCAACTTATTCATAAATAAAGTATATAATTTCAATACAAACTTCTTATCATTCTCATGTTGAGTTACCACAAAGCATAATATAGTCACCCATAAAATAATTCCAACATAATTAGACTTATATATGACCATTAATTTCTAATTAGTGTTAAATTTTTAATATAACACTCATTAGTTAAAGCTATTTCATTTGTTTTTCAAACTGAGATCTGACAATAGATTAATTAAATAAAAATAAAAATAAAAATTATTTTAATCAGGTTTTCTATTTTTGAATAATGATACTTTGACAATATTTTTTTATAACATTTTAACATCATCTAGTGTCATTATGTAATTGGTACAAAATTACTTTACAATCAATAATAATAATAATAATCATAAACACTGGACTAATCATAGAATGATACATAAACAATATTAAAATATTGTCAAAAAAATATTGTCAAAGTTATCATTATCCTTTATTTTTAGCATCAGCATTCAACTATTTTACATAACCCCATTTCATGGTTAGAAAGCTATTTTAAAATTATAATAACTTAAAAAGTAACGCTTAAGTTGCTCTATGGTCTTAATATGAAAATTCTTATAAAACTAAAATTTCATGGTACGACCAAACACCTTGATCTGCCGTCCTTGTGTAAAGAAGTTTTCCAAACTGTCTTATATAGAAGAAGTTTTCCAAACTGACTTATATAGAAAATTTCCAAACGGACTTATACAAAAGTTTTCCAAACTGACTTATATAGACCTCTTATACAACAAAACCATGAACGAATAATATAAACTCAAAATCATGCTGATTGGATATAACACAGTCAATACTTATCTCCCTACGATGACTACCACAACATTCATTGGGCAAAAGGAAGATTAAAGGGAAAAATGCCAAAGAGTAAATGAATCCTAACATATCCGTGAACAAAATTTTCTACAGTTGAGTCATTGAAATCCAAACGCTGATTACATCAAGGATGATGCAGTACAAGATAAACGAATTTCAATATGTTATTGAGGAATGCTAATATTCCAGACAAAAAATGGCCATCCAGAGAAAGGTACTCGTAGTATCAACGCTTGACCCATTGGAAACTTTTTCTTGCTTTTGCCTTTCCTGGCTTTTTCCTTTCTACCACTCGCGAGTCCCTCGTTAGGAAACCAGCTGATCAAGATTCAAGAAAATAGTTGCTTAGTTAATCAATCATCTTAGTGCAGTATAACATAAAACCAAGCCACATCTTAAAGACTAATTCACATGAATTCGCAGTTGGGAAGTTTGATATGAAAAATGATTAGTGAAGAGCTTTGTAGTATGGTAGGAAAACAAAACTGTAACAAAGTAAATCAACGGAAAGGTTATACCATTTCTCAGTGCAGGCCGCAAATCTGGTTCCCAGTTTTGCAAAGCCTTGCTGATCCCTAATCGTATAGCTCCAACTTGCCCTGTTGTCACAAAACGCATTTCATTTACACCAATGCGAATGATAGCTAAACAAATGAACTTTGACAAGTTATCCAGTTGGTGGTTCTGCAAAACTTCAACTGTGCGTAGTTTTCTCAGTCTAGGATTTGTCAGGGGAAGTTGAATAGAAGAGTCTATCGGGTGATAAATCAAAGATCAAGCATTTATTTGTCAAACTTAACTGTTCATGCTGGGATTAGCTCAAAGCTGAAATTAAAGCAGAATGCATTTTGCCCTAAATAAAACCAGAAAATATAAAGACACAAGGAAATGAAAACATAACAATATGACATAGTAGACTGCTTTTAATATTAGTGAAGGTGTAGTAACGCAGCATATACATATAATTCAGTTCGATATTATTTTATTTTCTTGAATCAACACAGATATTTTTCTTACCAGGTCAAGTCTAAATTAAAGAAAGCTTGTGTTTATATGGCAAAGGGCAATTTCCATATCACTAGAATAGTTACGGCAATATTTGAGCTCAACAACAATTAAGTTTTCTTAGTGGCTGAAGTCGACTACATAGATCGAAGTTTAGAGGCAGACGTGACACAGATGTTCCACAAACTATAAGAAGCATTTGCTAATCAAAACTAGACATGCTTCAGCTAAGAGAAGAAAGATAATCATACAATGAAAGAAGCTGATGCAATAACGAACATTCTAATATAGAAACTAACTAAATGTAATCAACCTCACCTGAAACACCGCCTCCTTTCACGGTACAATTGACATCCCAGAGCCCCAGTGTCTTTGTCTCAGAGAAAGGTCGGAGGAGCGTAGCGCGATGATCAAGCATAGGAAAATAGACATCAAACTCTTTATCATTAACTAAAAATTTACCATTACCAGGCTGAACCCAGACACGGGCAACACTGCATTTTCTTCTTCCTGTTCCATAGGCACGACCTTTGTCATCAACTTGTTTCACTCTAGCCTTTGCAGCTTCCTCTTGCTTCAGACGCTCCATTTCACCTCTAGTGGATTTTCTAGTATTCCTCTCATACCGCATGTCTTCAATTACACTAAGAGGGGGCAACCCATCAACTCCGTCGAAGTCTTTCAACGCAATCAAACTGTCAAGCATTTCATCCGTGATTCCAGAAGCAGCAATCAAATCACCAAATGCACGTTTTGGACCTGCAAAAACAACAGCTACCTAAATAAACAAAAACAGCAATGGTACAACAACATACAATACATTCTCATTCAACCACAAAAAATATCATCTTAAACCCTAAACCCTAAAGTTCAGTAATAACTCTCCTAAAAGTCATTCCAGGGTAAAAAGTGCATGCCTACTAAACTGTAAAGAGAAAATCATAGAAACCAGTCATATAGTATGAATCTATGCCATCAATTCAAACCTTACAAGAACCATAACGATATTGGCATTGACAAATTACATCTATAAAAATGTATTGTTAAAGCCTAACCTTTGACAACAGCAGTGAGAGCTTGCTCTTCCTTCTCGAGCTGTTCAACATCCACTTCGGGCTTACCATCCAAAGCAGGGATGCCGCTTTCATGTTCCACATCCTCCCCTTTGAAATCAAACACATCCTCTTTGTCCTCTCCCTTCAAGTTCCAGGGTTTGAAGTCCTCTCCTTCTCCAACTCCAAAATTCCAACCATCAATAGCACCACCTCCACCACCCGCATCTCCACTTTCGCTCTCGATCCCTTTAAATATAGCATCCTCGTCTTTATAATCGAGACCCTTCTCTTGCAACCACCCCTTTTCTTCCTCTTGCAGCCAGTTCTGCTCCTCCCTTTTCCCAGCCTCTTCGTTTATTCCAGCAAGGCTTCCACTCTCCTCCTCGAATAAAGCGCCGAACTTTTCGTCGGTCTCCTGAAAATCGTTCCACAGGCGGTTCGAGAAGGGATCCTTTCCATCGCCGTTGCCGCCGCTGTTGGTGGAGAAGTGTTTAGGAACAACGAAGGTGGTGAAGTAGGGTTTCACAGGTGCGTGGGGCGGTTTCAACGGAAGAGAGAGGAAGCGACGAAGATGAGAGGGTTTAGGGATTAAACGAGAAAGCATGGTGATGAAGAGAGTGAATGTGAAGTTGAATTATAGAGCGAAAGTGATACCATTCATTCTTGCTTTGCGTGAGAAAATAGTCGCCGGAGAGTTGACGGTGGCGATCGGAGTGAGTGGAAGAGTGAGGGAGGGAGGGACTACTAAGCTTAGGATTAGGTTTACAGAAGCAGGGATCAAAACGTCGTCGTTTAATGAAATGGTTGAAAGTGCTTTAATTTCTTTGTTGTTCAAAGAAAAACTAATCAAGGTTTAACAAGGTCTTTTTTGTTAAACTTATTTAGGTGATGAAAAACAACAAAAAGGATTCATAAGGGAAAAACGCATTCTATTATTGAAATTGAAATTGAAATACACAATTTCATTAGGAGAAAAAAAAGAAAAAAAAAACACAATTTATTTTAAGACATTTAAGTAAAACTTTTATTTATATGTTGGACAAATGCTTTTAAAAACATTTTTAAAAGATCAAAATAAAAATATATTTTTCCTTAAAAAAATCATTTAAAAAAGTTACATGTATGATAAATAAACTCATCTCCATAATAATATTTTATGATATGTCCTAGTTTGATAGAAAATTATTGAATATAAATATAGATACAGTATTATTCAATTTTTTTATTCAAGTATAAAAATGAAGATAAATATATATACAATTGTTTGTCTATGCCCTTTTTTTTCACTCTTTTCTTATTATTGGGTTTGTTTTATATTCTGCAAAATGGAATCACATTACCAACATATATTTTTTCTTATCACAATTTATATTACACACTTTTTATTTATTTTATTATGCTTAAATGATATATTATCTAAATAATTTATTATCTTATTTATATTTATTTTTTATATTTTTTCATTGTTTATTTTTTTAGGTGAGAAAATTCGATTTTTTTTATAAAATTCATCTTTATGAGGTAATATATTAAATTTATCTTTTTTATTATCTTTATTCTTAAACTTTGTTTTATTTAAAATACTTTTTTATTACACTCGCAAAATTCATTATCTTTTGTTCAACTGGTTGGATGTTTCAAAACCTTTTTAAGATATTCAATATACTTTTAATCTTATTATATATTTTATTATACATTTTTTTATACCATTTTTTTAATCACGTATCAAATTGTTTATATGAATGTTTAATTCACTTATTGATGTTAAGAAAATTGAATTGATTTCTTAAACAAAACTTATGAAATGGAAACTGTTGTTATTATGATAAATAAAAACTGTAAATAGAAATTACTGGATCATAATTGAATAGTCAAATAAAAACAAAAATGAACATTACTTTTTTTGTGTAGTAAAAATAAACTAGCTAATTTTAATCTTAAACATTACTTAAATTTACAATTCTCATTTATTAGAACAAGAAAAATTCTTAATTGCTTCCAAAATAATATCTTAGTTGTTAATCACGTTATGTGCGTGGTTGTTTTTTTTTTCTAAAAAAACAATGTGCTTTAATTTACTTTTAAAATTATGAAAATCTTGCAACTTTTTAAAAATTTCGAAGTAAGGCAAGTTCTGCATGTTTGTTGGAGATTCACGTTATTATTATATATAAATTGATTTCATAATAATACGTATAAAAGGATGCAAATCTTATTCTTTAGGAAATTTTGTAAAATTGAATAATATTTAAAATGTACTTTTAATATGATATCAAAATAATTATAACATATTCTAATAAAATTTATTATTTATTATTTTTATTATTCTATTCGTTATCACATTATTCATTAATGTTTACATTCCATTAAATTTTAGTTTCATTGAAATGTATGCATACTTACTTGAGAAGATATGTTGGCACCATTTTTTTAAGTTTTGTCGAACTTCAAATTTATTTCAGGATAATGATACTTTTGACAACATTTTAACATTATCTAGGTATTGTTCGATGATCCAAAATTACTCCACAATCAATAATAATAATCATAAATACCAATATGGACCTTGTATTAAAATATTGTCAATAAAATGTTGTTAAAGTATCATTATCTTTTATTTTAGAGTTTGCACCATTTTCATAATTTCAAAAACAAATTAATCCATATTGATAAAAAAAAAAGACATTAATGTAATGTAAGATTCAACGCTTTAGGTTGAGTTAACTTTAAATCTATTTTTTAACAATATTGTCACCACTTCATCTTCGTGATGTCGTGCCATTGACAAGCTTGCCCAACTTCAATTTTTTTTTAAAGTTGCACCATTTTCGTAATTTAAGAAACACATTTACTCAGATCGGTAAAAAAGCTTCTGATGTATTCCTATTCATCTCTTTGGCAGTGTTTTTATAGCAAACAACACATTATTTATAAGTCATAGATTTTAGATTATAGCAAACAACACTGTTTTTATAGAAACAAGTTAATCTAAATATGCATTTTATATATTATCTATTTGATGTTTATATTTTTTTAACATATTTGTTCAGATGGCTTTTCTCCCCGGGCTTTTCAGCTGCACATCACAACTATTTCAGCCTCTGGAGGAGTTAAGCTGTTAACAAGAATGTTTGTCAGTACACCAAGTGCTTGTGATAAGATCCCTGTCATGTGGTGAGAGATTGCAGACGATGCTATGATGATGCAAGTGTAATCCAATGATTTTCCAAGCATAAACTATTTGGAGTGCCAATTATCCGTGACCAAGTCCATTCTTTCTCCTCTTCAAGTTGTAATTCTGCTAACTGCCATAAGTCATGATGTTAGCTATATAACTGTTTAGCAATAAACTTCACCACAATACCAAAACACCTTTTCAGTATATTTGCTTGTGAGAGTTTGAATTGGCAGGTTTCAAAAGGGCATTGCAAATGCCAAAAGGGATGAAATTCATGCAGTCCCATTGGATGGTATAAGTTTTCAAGCTAGTTTATAATATTATATAAAATTAAATATGTTTTCAGTCGTTAAATTTGAACTAAAAATTAGAATTCGCCACTATTCCAAATTTTAATGCATTTTAGTTAGACTGATATCTGAACTGGAACATGTCAAACTGGAACATGTCAAAATGTATAAACAACTGAAATACCAACTTGAGACGAGTGTAAAAAAAAAATTAACACAATTAAATTAAAAGAATTATGTTAATTAATTTTTAAAGTTTGGGATCAAAATATGTGAAACGAATTCCAATTTCATATCTAAGTTTAAGAAATAAAAAAATATTTAACTCTATTAAGAGTTATTGCAATGGTTGTTGTGGAAAGCTATCACAGACAATATCAAAGAAATTTGACAAATGGAAACTTAAAATGCACAGAACTTGAATGTTTATAAAATCCACCCTTCAAGTTTTTTTCTCTAAATAACTATTCTTTCTAAAGAATGGATGATATATGTGGTTATAAACTTATAATAAGAGTTTTCCATCTGATAATTAGAATATCAGTGTGATAAGGTTCTTACCCTGCCATCTCTGAGCTCAAATATGACAGAACCTTCAGAAAATGGAATTGGTCTTGTGGATGCCACCTGTGTTGTATAAGACTCAAAGTCAATTCTATGTTCTTGTTCATTTATTTATTTTTTCAAAAGTACAAGGATGTCAATTTTAACCAACCAGTAACTAAAGACTAACTTTTACCTTTGGTTCACAATTTAAGCTGAGGCCAACAATGTTATCCTGGTCCTTGTTCAAGCCAGATGCACAATTTCCATCAATCTGATCTGGTTTCTCCTCATTGAATCTTCCACTATGTGCTTCAACAATTTTATTTCCCATATTGGGGAAACCACAATCCTTCCACTTCCATGCACTGTTGTCCATGTATCTCAGATATACTTTACCATCTGAGCCTATCAAAAGTAGTTGATTGCCTTCAAAGCTAGGACCAGGTGAACCAACCAGTGTAACACCTTTATAAGGTGTGCCATGTTCTACCCAGTTCCATCCATACCAAGTATTCCACTGGTACTCAACAAGACCACCTTCTCTTGAAAGCATGAAGAGAGAACCTGAGAGTGATTTTGTTGATGGTCTTATGACTGTTCCAGGAAACTGGGACAGAATCAAATGTTGAGACTGATAATGCTCATGCCACAGCTCAGTCACTTTGTTATACTGATATAGCCGACCATTTACTCCAGTGACAAAGACTATATTTTCCCTGAACAATTCCTGGTCAACTATACTTGCAACTTTCACATTTTGAGGATTTTTGCAATCTTTCCATTTAAACTTCCTCATGTACACCTGGGTAAACATGTAAATTTTTACTTCATATCTAGCTAGTGTAGCAGCATTTCACGTCTAAAGGGTTTATTCCCTGAAAATATTGATTTTCAATCCATTCGTGTTGCAAATAGTTACCAATGTTTAAGACACAAACTGCAGAAAATATGGAAGTACAATCATAATTTTGTTAACAGGCATACAATCATTGATGTGTCTTTACCTAACATCTTAAGCTTTTTGAAGTGTCACTCCTTCACACTTCAATCATTTTTTGTCTAGGCTTGTCTCTTAAGTATTCTAACTTCTAAGCAATTAAAAAGTTGATAGGTTACACCTATGTTATCATCTTGTACCTTATGTTTTAGTTTGAGAAAATTGTGTTACTGTTTACCTACCATGAACTGCAGTAATCTTCCATTTTTGCTCACAAAGAAGATTGAATCTTCAGTTGTAGCCCTCCTTGCTTTACCTGGTAACATGTCCCATGGTTGACCTCCAATAACATGTCTCCCTTTCCTCAAAGCAGTGCAATTTTTCCATGCTATGTCGTTACCACTCCATTCTCTAAGGAACAAACTCCCAAATGTATCAACCATAAACAAACTTCCATTATAGCTCCCCACTATACCACTCATAGCTGAGGAGCTATCATGCTTCAACCATACCCATACATTCTCAATACAAACGTATTCAAAAACCAAACCATCATTGTTTATTAAGAAGAATGACTTGCCTTCGTACAACAGTCTCAAGCGGAAGTTACTACTAATCCAGTCATCTGGTAGACTGTCTTCTTCTGAAGATTTACTCAGCTCACCACCTGTGCCTACAGACAAGTAATAACTCTGTGCTTGGCTTTGTTTTCTCCTACCTGTTACTGAACTTGTTCCTGAATCATATGACTCATCTTTTGTGCCTATAATACAATTTCTGGGGCCACGTTCTTCTGTACAATATTCTGCATTCCATCCTTCACTCTCTGGCACATCTAATAGAGTCCAAACATATTTCATTGATGCTTTCCTTCGAGAGTTTTGCGGTACAGATGGTCCTGAACTTTCACCACCTATTCCTGCTAGATGCAATTCTGCAAGTCTACCATCATCTAGTGCATACAGTATCCTCCCAACTTGTAATGTTAAGCCAGCTATACCTCTTGCTGCTTTAGCTTGTGAGGGATGCTCATGACTTCCCCATGCTTCTGGAAACTGATTATTATGAACACTGCCTGTTTTCATGTGAGAATTCAGATAGAAAACTATTGTTGGAACAGGAATAGTTTGAGTCTTTCTCAGATAGTATACTATGTCTTACTTTATTCTGCATATGTGGCTTCAGTGAAAAAATATATACTGCAAATACTAGCTATTCTTATGAGTAGAGTAGGAATTGCCAACAAGTGTTTACCGATGTTGAAATAATGAATCTAATCCACAAATAATCTTGTTAGTCTTTTCGTTGCTTGTGTATATGCTGCAATAATCTTTCAGGTTCTTCACAGATTATGAATTTGATTAGATAACAGTTAGCCATCAATTGATTACTCTTGGTTCCTAATTATCAAACAACTAAAGTGAGGTAAACTATGTAGAAGATACAAGAAAAGGTAGCTGGGAATGATGATTGTCTCTTATTTAGTTCCTAAGGATTGGAATCAAATTTCAGATGGAAGATAGGTTTTGGTGATGGTGATTACTATTCCAATCGTTTACTTAAATGTTACTGGTGAAAATCAGAACATTATGTCTCACAAACTCCTTTGTGTATTGATACATAAACAATGAAACTGAAAATCCCAAATAGTAAAGTTCATGTTTAGTGAAATCAAGGGGTTAATATAATCATAGAAGTAAATATCAATCATGGATAATGTTGAACAGATTTAGAACAATTGGATGACTGACCTAGTTGTTTTGGCATTTGATATTCAAAAACAGATCCAGCTGAAGTAGTAAAAAATAAAGAAATGAATGTTTCACTTGATTCATCTTGCAAAGCTGGCGTAATAGATGTCAAAGTTTGTTGTTCAGGACTTCCATGAACTACCCATTTCCACTTCCTTTGATGCAATCTTCTCTCCACCAGAGTGCCTTCCTGCACAATTATCATTTTTTAAATGGTGTCAAAGAGAAACAGTTTTTCTTTTAGATTCTTGAAGAGCCTCGTTAAGATGAAATTCTAAATTTTAACAAGATGCTCAATTGGTTTATAAAGTTAATTGGAACCATGGTTTTACTTCATCAGTAATTTTGATAGAGCTAATTCACCGATATCTTCCTGATTACTATTACACTCATATTCTGATAATGGAAGATATGTTCATAAAATAATTTCATTAACAGTACCTTGGTTAAAAGAAACAGAGATTCAGAATGATCACCACTTAATCCATTTAAAATGCACCCTTTAGACGGAATCAAAGGTGAAACTTTTGCTGTTTTTTCTTGCCATATGTGCTTCCTCCACGACGGTTTTGATTTTCGATTATACTCAAAAAGATCTCCCGCAGAACTACATCACCACATCATCAGTTAAACATGTTATACTCCAAAAAGGTGAAAAATGATGTCTGATAACTGTTTAAAGACAACAACACGGTGGTCCATGTAAAGAAGGAAAACAACAATGCATTTCAACATTGTTTTCTGTCTTTTCTTTACTGTTCTATTTACGAATCAAAGTGTTTCAAGCAACACACANGATGAAATTCTAAATTTTAACAAGATGCTCAATTGGTTTATAAAGTTAATTGGAACCATGGTTTTACTTCATCAGTAATTTTGATAGAGCTAATTCACCGATATCTTCCTGATTACTATTACACTCATATTCTGATAATGGAAGATATGTTCATAAAATAATTTCATTAACAGTACCTTGGTTAAAAGAAACAGAGATTCAGAATGATCACCACTTAATCCATTTAAAATGCACCCTTTAGACGGAATCAAAGGTGAAACTTTTGCTGTTTTTTCTTGCCATATGTGCTTCCTCCACGACGGTTTTGATTTTCGATTATACTCAAAAAGATCTCCCGCAGAACTACATCACCACATCATCAGTTAAACATGTTATACTCCAAAAAGGTGAAAAATGATGTCTGATAACTGTTTAAAGACAACAACACGGTGGTCCATGTAAAGAAGGAAAACAACAATGCATTTCAACATTGTTTTCTGTCTTTTCTTTACTGTTCTATTTACGAATCAAAGTGTTTCAAGCAACACACATTACCCACCTTATGGTGTATACAGCTTCTCGTGCAGAAGCAACAGCAGCTATTGCTGCAACATTTGCTCCAGCTGGTTGGCCATGATTTGTCCATCTGTTCTATATATATTGGCAAAATAGGACCGAAATTAGTAATATTTGCTTAGGATTTAACTTATGTACATTTATGTGCTCCGAAACTTGAGTTTTACCTTGGAGACTCGACCACATCAAGTTCTACAAGAGTTCCATTCTTTGTGCAGAAATAACATCTTCTGTGGACAATGCAACAACACAAACGAGAAATTAAGAGCTTGATAGGTTTCAGACTTTAAGTAAGCACCCAATTCAAATGCATCCTTGTGTTTAATCTCAGAAACTAAAATTTCAATGTGTACTCACTGTCCATCATCTGACACCACACCAGACTTCATCAATGTCAAAGTATTTCTCTCCTGTTCATTATCTGTAATTTGACCAAGTGCAGGTGAGAATTCAACCCAAACTGGTTGTGAAACTTCACCAAGTTGAAACTGCATCTGCTAAATAAAACAAGGTCAGTAGAGAAGTGACTGATTTAAGTGCATAACCAAATCATATTAGTGAGTGATTTAAGTTGCAAGAGAAGTTGACAATCTATATGCATGTAGTTTTTAAAATGTATCCTAATAGAAGGGTGGATTTTCTGAATGAAATATAGTTCTGAGAACTGATGTGTGTACAACCTGATACAGAGTTCCTGATTCAGATAAAGCAAGAATCATCTGACCGATGATAAAAACTGCCACTGCACGTCCTGCTGATATTGGCAAGTCATGAGGGGCCATCACCCATTCCAATCCATTCCAAAACCTCTCATAGATAGACCCACTTTCACCAGTGATCCACACAGATGTCTCAGACATTTTGGTCAGTGAAACTCTCATTCTCAGAGGCATAAGAACCACATCCAAGGGCCCAACAACTCCTACATTATCATCTTTTCTGTCTAGTCTCATCTTTTTGTCATCAAATCCCTGTTCTTGATCCACGCTTTCTTCCCTTGTGTTCACCTTACCACACTCACTATCACCACCAGATATCAGATCACAGGGCAGTTGCACTTCAACCCATCTATCAGCTTCTTCACTGAACTTCCAAAACCTATCGGTTTTCTGTTCAAACCTTCTATTACCCTGCTGAAACAGCTGATAGGGACAGCATGAAGCACACCCCACACCAGTACAAAAGCTCACAGACAAGAGCCCCCAGAAGCCACATATCAAATGGAACACTGACATGGTGGCATGGGGAGCCAAGCCAGATATCAGAAACTCCAAAAAGTCAGGATTTGTAAGATATTCTAAGGACAAGTTTGGTAGATGTGTGCCACATGAGGGTTCCCCATATGGGTCATGGATATAAAGGCTTGGATCATCCAATCAAACAGCTCAAATTTATTGGAAAGATGGTTTTTTTATAGCCTCCCAGTAAAAGGGAATTCACTATACTAGATATGAATATATTGGTGTAGGGATGAAAAGAAAAGAAGATATTTTGTGGGGTACCATGTAGTAGCAGAGGCGCAAGCAGGTATTGATTCTCATATCATAACTACCTCATATGGCTTCTGTTTATTTTCGTCAACTTTGAAGTTAATTCTTTGATAAAATAACATGAAACAACCTGTTTTTCACGCAGCAGTTTGTTTCTTTCTTCCTACATCAAAAGGCTAAGTTGAGTTCTCATCCATTCTAAGTAGCTGCTTTATCTGACCAAGCTGTGATGATTTCCCTCCCTTGATTTTATCATCACACTGATGTTTAAGGGATAGATTTTGATGAAAATGTTGGTTTGTGTTTGTAAAGTAATGCTATTGAGATTCTATGGTCGACTTTTACTGCTAGGAAGAATATGAACTCCTCTGGCTCTACCTTGACATAGATGCAGCAACCAACAACTAGCTACAAAAAATAATATTATGATATGTGGTAACTGTCATTGGATCATGAGAAGCCTCCAACCGATGGCTCTGATATTCTGTTGCACTTTGACTATGTGATTAGAAAACCTTACAAGTTTCGTATCAGAGGGTTTTCTGAGAGCGAAAGATGGATGACCTCAGATACCATTAATTTTCTTTTGAAGACATTTAGTGTTGAAAAGGACAACGAACACATCACCATTTGGAAGTGGTTGGCCTAATAAGGCATTACTTACAAACGTACATAATGTACTACTCTTGATTTTACTGCTTCTAACAGCAGTTACCTGTGCCTGTTTACTCTTATTCTATGATAATAAGTAATAACATTATAGGACTCTACAAACTTTATTATAAGACAGTGAAACTGCCGAAGAAGTTGTTCCCTGTTGCCTACGCAATTCCATCACTGTCACTGTCACTGTATCGGTTACAAATTAAGATCATGCAGAATAAAATCATTCACTGTAACTTTTATGCACCAAAAAACATCCAAAAATGTATGATTTCTAAACAGTTATCGTAAAAATCTAACCTTTTTATTCATATTTATGGAATTTGACACCCTGCACGGCCCCACACGTGATAATCGTTGGTGCCCTTTTTCTTTATACAATAGAACATGCTAATTGTTCGTCGTGGGCATATAAGAAACTCATTCTCTTGTGTGAAAATATGAATACTTTTTCTTTAGCAGGAGAGTTTTATTCAGTGTTTAACTATTTTCTTCTCACATATTATTTATTTCATTACGTAATAAAATATATAACACCAATAAGATAGAAATCAAATTACGCAGAAATTGACAATATTTTTTATTCAAATGACAATGAATGGGTTTTTAACTTTATACGTTTCATTCTAATTAAAGTGACACGACTCACTTTTAAATTCTCATATAGTTATATTTTAAGAAAATTTTGTATACGTTAAGGTGAAAATTAATTTTAAATAGTATATCTAGTTTGGATTACTAAAAGAAAAACTTTTCATAACTAAATTAAAGAAAAAATTATAAGATTTTAGAATAAATAGTTTTGTATTTAAACTTGTTAACAACGTAAGTATAGATTTAAGTCATCTATCTAAAATTTTAAATTATAAATAATGTAAATTTCTTATGTATATTGAAATCGTGTTTATTTCTACTTAATTTTCTCGTTGAATCTTAGAATAAAAGCTAATTAATCATGATTTAAAAAAGTTTCTTTTATCAAAAGATAATGGATATATTCAAAGATTAAATTGTAATATATTATCTTTATCACAATCTATTCCAATGATAAAAGGACATAATTGTGAACGAATTTTAAATTTTAAAGTGAATAACATTTGATCTTAACACTCTTATCTCAATAAAATTGAGATTGAAATATTTATAACACATTTAAAGACGAAAACTCTAAACATAGTTTAAAAGTTAAATTGCCAAAAAAAATTATATTTCAAAATGAATACTACCTTAAATACTTGATTCTAACTATAACTAATTTGAAATTAAAAAACATTCTTTTTCAAAACGAATTTGCTATTAGAACACATTCTATTTATAAAGATATATTAAATTACCTTTAAAAATGTGAAATTAATCCACCAAAATTAACTTGAGAAGAACCTAAGTTAAACAGGACATAGCACAAGACAACCTATTTAGGTCGGCCTAGTCAAATAGTGGTACTTAACTACTAGTCTTTTTCAAGTTTCCATATATCCTTAAATATACTCACTGCGTCAATAAATGTTAACTAACACCAGAAATTAATTTACCAACAAGAACATTTAGTTTGTGAAAGTTAGAGATATCTCACTTTTCTAGATTAAATTTATCTTTAACGTGAACCAATAAGGTCAAACCTACTTTTGATTTAATTTAAAGTAAACCGTGTTTTGAACTCACTTAATTTTTTTTTTCCAATTAACTCACTTAAACTTTAAAACAACGGTGCTTTTGCAACATTTCTAAAGGTTATGGCCTTCTCATTTTTTATTTAACACTTGCATTCTACCACTGCGGTTAAGAGTGGACTTAAGCATAAATCAAATCATAATTATGATATCATGTTAAAAGATAAACTTAAGTCTAATTTAATTTTACAAAACTCACTTGTAAGACAAAGTTTGCATCAATTTCTATATTATAAATTGATTTTATCTCTATTATAACAAATTATTTATTTTTGTATTGGATTTGGTTAAAGACTATTTCTAGTTGTAATAATTTTTCCTTTTTATAAATTTTCCTTTATGTAACGAAATTCTTTAGTACTTAATATGCTGAATGACTTATAGACTTGGAACATTAGAAATTTTACATATTAATGTATTTGTAGACAATGAAATATAAATAGTGAAATTGTTTTAATTATTTTTGTAGACAATGAAATATAAATAGTGAAATTGTTTTAATTATTTGGATTCAATTTATTCGAGGAATTATTCTCGAATTATTAAAAGAAAAAATTACACCTTGACTCCCAAATTGGAGACGTTATTACTATACTCTTTCCTAAATAACTTATTTTTCTATTTATTTGTAATTTTCAGATTTCAAGGCAATTATGATTTTTTCTTTCTCTCAATTAGATCAATTATACCTTGTTTTCTTTGATTATTTTATACAATATATTTGAAAAACAGAACACTTAATTTTCCACATGGTAGGTAAAATCGAATAGATTACGATTTTATTTTCTGGATTGATTACGAATAAAAACACATCATTTGAAGAAATTCAGGAATCATAGAAGTTTAGAGAACTGACGAGAAGAAAATGACAACAATATTTTCCATAATATCGTATATTCGTGGAAGAGTTTTGGTGGCCCTGCAATTCCATTAATTTTTCCTTGCGAAATTTCGTGTTTTCTATTTTTGAATTTTAAATTATATAATTCAGAAACCATAACTCAGAATTCATTTTTCAAAATAATTTTTGAATTGTACAATAAAAAGAAAAAAAGAGTTTTGTTAACATGGAGATGCAGATAAAAATTTATGGAGGTGTTTGATGAAATTGTCAGATAAAATTATTGGGAATTAAACCCAATTAAGAGTTACTATCTAAAAAGCCCATTGATAGTAAATTCGGTTCAATTTATATAAACATGCAAAATAAATAATAATAAGAGAAATTTTTTTAATATCCTGAAGAATAATAGTTTATTGAGAAATATCAATGTGTTCAATTAGAAAAACAAGTTTGTTGGTAAATTAAAAAAATTTGTACAAGAAAATGCTTCACTGTAGGTTAGTAATAAAACACAGGTTATTGAGTGAAGTAAAACTTCTCCTTGCATAGCTTTGTCTTTTTATGTAATTGTGCTTGGACTAATACAAACACAAACGCATACATAACAAAACCAAAGAACCCAAAATGAAAGAAATTCACGATAAACAATAAGTCACAGTTTACACCCACAATCATCATCAAACCTAAGAGCAATAAAAACATAGTAATGATGAAGTAAAAAAATTGAGATGATGGTGAATTAACAAAAAGAAGAGCATAACAAATTAGATAAAAAAGAATTGGAGAGCATAGGGAATCTGAAGGAAGAAGGAATTGAACACAGGTTAGAAATAGCCTTACAAAGTGAAAAGAAATAGAGGTCAAACAGAAGTAACTTCTGGAATATTTTACCCAAAAAAAATAATGTTCCAGGAGTAAAATTGGTTTTTAGAACCTATACTGTAAAAGAGCAAAAATAAATATATGCTATAACAATGGTCATGTGGAGAAAGGGAAGAAACTGAGGAGGATGTCGGAGTATGACGGGAAAAATGCATATATGCCAAGACTTGGCACCACTGAAACTTCTCTTCTATTAGTATAGGAGCACTCCAAAGTCATAGCTCATTTGCTGCTTAAATTGTCATAATTCAATCACCGCATCAATTATCAGAGGGAAAGATATGAAATTAGTACGAATCATACTAATAAAAAACTTATCGGAATTAGGGCAACAAGTATCGTGAGAGCCAGATGCTACTTAACAGTATTACATTTAGTGCAATTCTAGCTACTAAGCAGAAAACATGATCTGCATAATAAGTAAAAAACATTTAACCTGTCCAGAGTTTTTGCCTCTTCACCTTAAATAGAATTGATCATGAAATTTGAACTGAATTTCTTTAAGTGGGAGGGGGAAAATGTTGAGTAGCGTTGTCCTGGTACCTTTTCCTCAACAAATAGTCAGAATAAAAAATGGTACTTCAATAAAATTAGAATATAGCAGCAAAATTGAGTTTCAGCATCACTAGGAGTAAAAGAAATTTACAAGCTAGGACCTTTAATGGTCAACAAATCAGTCCAAATAGTATTTTAGTGCCAAATAATTTAAAGTAATAAAAGGCCTGGATTTAGGTTCCAGCAAAAAGGAACCACAAAAATAATCTGGCTTTTTGTCTGAGTGCTGAAAGCACACTAACTAATTTGTCGGATGCTGGTTTTCTTCTTGACAATATGCATATCAGTGATAAGAAATCTGCTCAAGAGTTGACGGTTGACACAAATGTGAAGAAAAAAACTTTAATCATGCACCAATGAATGGAAAGATGAATGAATTGTGATTTCAATGAATATGAATAGTATAATGGTTAGGAAAAGAAAAAAGGAATTTCCTCTTTTGTCATGTCCACTCTAATTTGAAACATGTGTTATGCCTTCATTACGTGTGTGCGTGTGTGTAGATAAGACGTATTTTAAGCAGCCTAAAATATTATAATTTCTATAAGATAAAAAACTATATACAGAAGAATTTCCTGAACTCTAACCATTCCGATTTTCACCACTTTATGAAGAAAATCACAACTGCAGAGAAAAAATGATTTTATTATCTATCTATCTATATCAATCCCTTGCCTTCTTTATTCTTTTTATTAGAGATTCTATGGATGCTTGGATTCTACTTCCTTCTGTTTGCATCACTGCTTGAGACACCTCCTGAAGATGCTGAATCCCACGACCCAAACTAGCAATTGATGGCGCTGCAGGGAGAGACTCAACAGCACACTCAATCCCATCACCGCACAAAAGCAAGCCTGTACAAGTTCCAATACTGCCTGCAAATGTAGCCCAAGGTAAGAACCCAACAGGACGCACCTTTCGCTTCCTCATTATTTCATAGAAAGCCGTTCTCATGACTGAAATACTCGTTTTTTCAGCAGACGCTATAACACTGTGAGTAACAACTCGAATCTTTTCAGCAGATAATGCTGTCTTCATGATACCGGACGTTTTGGCTCCAGAAGTTGCAAAACCTGGAGCCACAACTTTTGATTGGCCAAAAACAAAAGCAAGGACTTTCTGCATCTGGCTGAGACCGATTTTAAGTGAAGTTGGAATTTTGAAAGTAACTACCTTCACCAGCGTTGATGCTGGGACTACTTTGGTCAGCGATGAAGCTCCTAAAACTGCTGTCGCTCCAGCCCCTACTGCCACCATAGGCTTATCTGTTAACAACCGTTTCTTGTCACTGTGATTCAACATTACCCCTTTACCTTCAGAATTTGTTATCAGTTCCCCAACCAGCTCTTTGACTTCAACAGGAAGAGGAGTATCCCAGTGTTTCCTAAGTCCAGCCAAGGCACTAGCATCTACCACTGCCACAATGGTCTTAAACTTATCACTCTGGCTCCGAATCGCCTGTGCCAAGAGTGCATGCGACTTGTCATCAACCGGAAGCTCCGAGAACACAATCTTATCCGACTTGGCGGCACTTTTCAACCCCTTATTATTTAGAGCAATTCTTAGCCCTTCAACAGCAATTCGGAAAGTATACACTTCAGAAACAGTTTTCTCGTCCAGCACCTCCCCTCTATTCACACCCAACAACATCTTCTGCACATGAGCCAGGGCCTTCCCAAGCGATGGAAGATCACGAAATATACTACACAAATCCTCAAGCAAAGGATAAATAGACCTGGCAAAACCCGGGGTCTCATAACTAGTTAATGGCTGAATTTCTTCATCACCCCCCTCCAAAACAGAACTAGCATTACCACTACTAAGCAAAACAGGATCCAAATGGCCAGACAAAGCCTTGGCCAGCATCATCCTAAGGTCCTTATCAAGAGAAAACCTTTTCAAAGCCGAAGGAGCCCAAGAAGCAGCATGCTTCTGAGGAACCAGGCTATTAACAAGACCTCGAAAATTACTCCCCCTATCAACTCCACCCCCAGAATTGCTATCATTATCACTACTATTACTATTACTATTACCCCAACAAGAAGGAGACTCTATAACAAGAAAAGACGATCCAACATCCTCAGAAGCCCTCTTGGCAGCCAACAAGGGGCCATGAAAACTGGTCCCGAAAATCTCCCTCAACACAAAGTTACCTGCAACATTCTCATACATGTCCCTACCAATTTTATCAAGAAAACAACGTTTGATTACCCCAAAAGACGAAGTCGGTAACGGAACAGAGCACTCTTCAGACTGAAGCTGGTAGAAAGGGGAAACCCCAGCCTGCACCAAAACGGCGTCGGGTTTGATCTCCCTGATGAGGCATTCGGCATCGGAGACTGATCGCTCCGACAAATTCAAAGCAGAGAGAATGTAAACAACGGATTGGTTTTGCGAATCATGCACCGCATATACGAATTGCTTCGTCTCTTCGGGAATGCTCAGTTTCTTCACCAATTGCTTCGATTCTCTCAGCTCGTCCACTCGGAATGGCCACAGGTTTTGCAGATTCCATAACCACGCAATCCCCATTCTGAGAACCAAAACCGATTCTGGAACGAAGAAGGTGGATTCAGTGTATGTGTATCAGTAAAATGATTAATATGATTTCTTTTCGCAACAAACTCTACATATAATTTTTAATTAAAGTTTAAACATTATTCTATACTAAGAGACCGTGTTTATATTTTACTTATTCATAATCTTTATAATTTCAATAGTTTTGCTACTTTCTGCTATATAATTCTTTAACTTATTCTTTAGGAAAAACTATTAGAAATTACAACATTAAATCATAATTAGGGTTTTACCAACTATTTCTACTTTGACTAAACTAATTATTTGAATTTGTCATAAGAACCCACGTCATCTCACTGAATTAGAGTATTTCGTAAATAAGATAATAACGATACTTTCACACATATAAATTTGTTTACATTTATTTAAAACTATTTTTCACTGTCTTTACTTTTTTAAAAAAATAAATAAATACAAAAACTCTTTTATTTTATAACTATTTTATTATATAATATGATAGAAGATGGATCAGCTTCTATCTCACCCATTGTTATTTCACACTCGTTGAATTAAGAATGATTGTCTTAAGAAATAATAGATGCAATGCATTTCTCTGTTATAATTTACAATCATATAAAAAAAAATCTTCCAATTTTTTTCCAAATCACTTCGATCATCATCAATAATAATAAAAAATTAAAATCAAACATGATAATATAAATATTTATAAACAAATAATTTATATATCATCTTCAAATTACATAATTATTTAATTAATTTATCGATTTCTAACAAAATCATAATTTTTAAATAGAAATTTATATTAAAATGTATTCATGTTACTTCTATCATTAAGTTTATTTCACAGTTTTCTTATGTGAAATTTTTTACACACTTAAATTATTCAAGCTAACAGCAATAAAAATTATATGTGTGTGTGTGTAACAGTAGCAATTATATATAATAACAACATCGATAATAATTTATTAACAATAACAACTTAATATCCGTTAAAAACCATCAGAATTTAATAATATATAGCCGACAAAGAATTTAAATACAATAAATAATAAAATTTTATTTTACACTAATTTATTAGAATAAATACAACATAATCAAACATATTAATTATTTCCTTGATATAGATAAATTTAAAATAATTAAATTAATTTTTTAATTTAAAATGCGACATAGTTGATTTATTATAAGAAGAAGAAAAAAAATTTATGGTATACAATAATTAAATTTATTGCATATTCTACACATATTTACTCTGAACTATTTTATTTTTAAACTACAACATTAACATATCTTATTCACTTCTTACTTTATTTTTTATATATTTAAGTAATAAAATAATCTCACTTAAAATATTACATAATTTCACACCTAATAAAAGCAACCTTTTAATATAACTTAGTATATTAAAATCAAAATATGTTGACTCCTTTAAGAAGTTTATACACTATAAAATTAAAACAATCATTTGAATAAATTTAAGAATCTCACTATCAATTAAGTGTCAACCTCAATAACCAAATATTTTTAATAAAAGATTGTACTTCCTTTCTTAATTTATCCGACATATATTTTATTGTTCTAAAATTCTAAATTATATTTTTCTCAACACTACAAAATCTCATATTAAAACTCCTTCCTACATTAACTTTATTTATATTCCACATCAATATTTAAACACATAACTATCACATTTTGTAAAAAGTATTTTTTTTCGTTAAAAAAATTAACAAGATTTTCTTTTATCTAATTCTAACCATAAAATAATAATAATATGATAAGAATAAATACTTCCTTAAGTATCCCAAAATTTTAGATAATTTTTACTGAGTTCCTATTAAAAGGTTTTATTATATTGAGTGGATAAAATATCTATTTTATTTACATCTAAGTATCTACTGTTTAATTTTTGTACGGTATGATGTATTCTTATTTTTATCTTTTATGCCTCCAAATCAACATTTTTTTAAAACAAAAATCAAATAAGAAGTTTTTAAATAGAAATAAAAAATATTCTAATGAAATTAATTTTTTAACATTAAATCAATTGAAAATACTTAAATTTATAAAATATTTAAAACTTCGTTAAGCTTTCATTTAAGCATATAATAATTATGTTTTTTCACAAAAACAAATAATACATATCTTTTATCATATATTGTGATTAATCGTAGAAGAATTTAGATTAATACGTGCATTTATTTGAAACAATTTTTTTGAGAACATTTTCTATATTTAATTATTTTTCTTCAATAATCAACTAAGTTCAAGTGCCTTTGATTAATGAAACATAGTGATATTTTGCTTTTAGTTTTCCCCCTTTTTTTTTTAATTTGGTTTATGCAACTTTTATTTGCTTTAGTATGTTATCTTATTTTAATTCCTTTAAATTTTTTATTATGTAGATTATAAATTATTTGATCTCAGTCTCTGTCAAGTGTTTTTCATCAAAGACGAATTCAAAGATGAGAAAAAGATACCATAAGGATTTAAAAAAAACATATTTATAAAAGCTAAAATAACTTAACAAAGAAAAAATTTACAAAAATACAAGTCAAGAAAAAATTATAGAAGATTAAAATAATTATATATTTTAAGGCTAAAAACTTATTCAAATACTTCAGTTATTTCTCATCAGTGTCAGTGATCAAATTCTGCAGTCCAAGTTAACACCATATGATGTAGAAAGTAGAAAAAGATGAGAAATAGCTAACATTCACGTATGATTGTGTTAGATACTTTTTACCATGATAGAAGCTACAAAAACTACAACATTCTAAAAAGAGATGATTTTTCAAGCATAAATAACACACAGAATCTCCAATTGACAGCAATTTATCTAAATTACAATGGGGTATGATCAAAATACTAACCACCTCCATCCTACATAAATTTTTTTATGCCTCCCATAGATGAACTCTGAAAAAAAACACTAGCATAGATAAAAGAGAAAAGAAGAAAATAGACTTTTCATACTGAAAGTATCTATGAAAAAAACACTAGCATAAGAAAAGAAGAAAATAGATTTTTCATACTGAAAGCGAATTTTAATATGTTCTGTTCCGGTATAGGATTGACTTCATCTAAGCCCTGCACAATTTTCTTCAGATGTCATTAGGTTTACGCTTTCCCTCTTCTCTCTGTCTAGTCAAACTTCGTCCGATTTTATGTGCACCGATCGGAGGTGTACCTGTTAAGGTGATGCCAAAGTCGGTGATAGTCCGATCGGTAAGCTAAGTGTTGTAATAAATGCGTAATTAATGAATCCCCATTCCTTTTACCTTTGACCTATATTTATAGTTTTGGTTGTGGGTTTTGGATGAGCAAAATCTTAATCACGGTCCAACCACAACCCAATATTTTTTAATCAGTGTTTTATCTTAATCATGTTTAAAAACCTACTTGTCATGGTCATCTGATATTATTGTTGTCTGAGCAAGTGTCGTCGATCCTGTTCGGGAGTCCCCAGTACATGTTTTAAAATATAGTCTACATTCTTATATTTTAGGGAAACAACTTAGAAAAACTACACAATTTAAGTCACTACACAATCCAAATTGGCATTTCACTCACTACTTCAATAACCCTTTTTCTGGTATTTCTGTTTTGGTTACATCAAAAAAAAAAAAGTCAAGCATGTGTTGCAAAAAGTAAAACCCTTCTGTTTTGACAATCAAATTCCAAGTAAAAGCATAGAAATACTCTTCATTCCTGGCATTTAAACTAGTTGTGCTTTCAGGATATTGTAGAATCAATATTTTCATAATTGAAACTTTTTAAAATAAAGGATAATGATTCTTTGACAACATTTTTTTAATAATATTTTAACATCATCTACATGTCATCTGTGATTGGTCCAAAATTACTTCACAATCAATAATAAATATTCATAACCACTAATATAAACCAATCCCAGAATGACACATAAACAATGTTAAAATATTATCAAAAAAAATATTATCAAATATCATTATTTTAAAATAAATGCTCATAATTGAAAGTATTATTGCTAAAGGAAGAGTAAAGTAGAGTACCTATTGTGAGGAGAGTAACCTTTGTCTGCGAAGTTTGCTGCTAAACGGTAACGGAAGCCCTTCAATTTCTAACCGTTATTCTTCATTTTATCAATTTTAGGGTAACGGTCCTACTACTCCTACCCTATGCCCAAAGGTGAATTTAGATTCTTTACTACTAGCGTGGAAACTGCATATGTGGGGATATGTGTTAATTTCCTTTTATGATAATAAAATATAATTAAATTTATAATCATTATAGATATTTTTTTATAGATTTTATAGATAATATTTATATTGTAGATAATTATTTTAACTTTAAAAATATTTAAATTTTAAAAAAATAATAAATGATTAAATTCAAAAACATGTCTCTTAAGTAATAAAATTGATTTAAAAAAAACTATTATTTAAAGAATTAAAAAAATGTAACATATGAACATAAAAAAAAACTCATTGTATATTTACTTTTAGAGTGCATATATGTTATTTTTTAAAAAAATTATGATAATAAAATTATTATTATAATTATAAAAATAAATTTTAAGATTTTTTACTTGTACCTAATTTTTAATTTTCTTTATATATTTGTATTATAAGTAGGAATTTTAATTTAAAAAATAGTTAATTTTTTGAAAAAGAAAAGGACCACTTATATATATTACTAGCGCGTACTGTTTTATAGTTGGTACATTTTAGCAATGTATACCGGGTTTTAGTAGACAAAAATATCCTTATGTATCATGGATTATAAGTTTTAAGGTTAAGGGTATTTTAATAATTTTCATTCTCAAAACTAAAAAAAAGGAAACTCTCATACCCTTACTCACCTCTCTCATTCCTCTCAACCCTTACTCTCTTTCGTCTTTCTCACTCCAATCTTTTTTCTGTCATTCCTACTGTAGTTCAAATTGAAAAAATCAGAAACACTTGCCGTTAAACAATCTTACAAAAAAAATGATTTTATAATGAGTTTTCATCTTATAATTTATGTCTTATCTAATTTTATCCAATTTTCACAAGCATAATTGGTA